TCTCTCTCTCTCTCTCTCTCTCTCTCTCTCTCACCGCACAGTTGGAATGTGCAAAACGGGAATGAATTTTCTCGTGCTGTCGGGAAGATTCATTGCCGTTTGCTACTTCAAATCTCAGAGAGAGAGAAAGCGCACGTTGGAATGTGCAAAACGGGAATGAATCTTCTCCTTCCTCCACCCGTGCCCCTTTTATTTCCAATATGCATCTTTTCCACCAGATAGTCCAAAGAACAGCCCGCCTACCTAAACGGAACATGTTCTCCTCGAATGTGTTTCCCCGGATCGGGGGGTAGTGACCTAGTAATATGGCCCTCCATTCCCATGGCCATTCTGCATTAGGGACAATGTGTCGCCAGATCCTATCCCAACTCCATAATAGTACCGATGTTGGGCATTGGAGGAAAATGTGTTCGATTGTCCCAGCACGTTTTCTCCCTGGGTAGCTCTGAAGGCAGTTGTGGCACCATGGTAATGCCCGTCCTTGTTGTTCCAAGCGGGTATGCTCTATCAGCCAGTCATTAGTTGGCAGGCATCAATGTGCTATTTGCCACTGAAGGGCAGCAGTCTTTGCGGGTCTGTCCCCCGGTCCCCGTAGTGCATGAACCATCGGATGGGTTTGAGCAGGCTGCGGTCCACGTTGAGATGCCGATACCATTTGTCCTTTACTAGTTTCCACAGTCTTCGCTTAGGACGGAGCATTCGGTAGACTGATTTGGCTTTCAAATTATGTAACATTAGTTGTTTTGTTGTCCCTTGCCTAATCCGATCTTCCTGGGACCAGTGTCACTCGCCAGGGTCGAAGGGAAGTTCCTCAATCGGGGTCAATGGTCGGTATGCTCTTCAACATCTACCATCATCTAGAACTCTGATACGATATATGCTCGTGCTGTCTTTCCAGACGAAAGACTGTCGGCTTCCTCGTAGCTCACCATCCCTATCACTCAATTGCCACACAAACTCTTTTGTACCCTATCCCCTTGATAGTGGGACCATGCCCCTCCTTGCATTTGGATTGAAACTGCAGTCCACATTTCAACAGGTCCATCTGTGTACCAACTGAGCTAGGCCCATTGGTTTGTGTGTCTATTCAACTGGGTAACCTGGGATAAACTTTTTTTTTTTTTTTTGTGGTTGTTGGGTTGTTGGGGGGTGGCCCAACCTGACCAGACAATTATCTGCAGGGGAGAACGGATCGGCTAATGGGCGCGACTGAATCGTCCCACGGCCGTCCAGCCTGCGGCAGGTAGGCCTTTTTTTTTTTTTTTTTGAAGAATCGGCCCCGTGGGACAGCTTGAGATGCCTTTTACGACCAGTACTTCCAGAAGTCGCGACGTGTGTACATGCAGCCAGCCAGCCATTGCTACACTGCCATGAAGTTGCCAGTTGAATGAGTTTATTACAGCGCCTGAGGCCCGCTCTTCACAGCAGGTCGCGGCAGGCATGCGGCCGATGGTCTGAACCGCCGGTACATGCCCCCAGGCTTGTAGAAAATTGCGCGTTGCCAGCTCCGGCTCGGGGCTGCCCGACCACAACGACTGGCGGCGCCAGCCAAAGAAAAAAGAAAAGAAGTGCGCTGCTGGTGGTTCGAAAAAGCTTGGCGTGCAGTGCAGCGCCTCCAGGCCCGGATGTATTGGTTTAGGGTTTAATATGCTCGATATACCCTCATGAAGAACAACTTAAGGCAGACAGGGAGAAAAGGACAACAAACGAGGGTCGGTGGCAGACTATATATACAAATGTTGTTCTCCGGGTGGAAAGGCATCGGTTTTGGATACGGACGAGTGCTTCGCACCTTTGCAATCGTGCCTGGCTGCGGGTCCATATTATTATTATATTACAGCAATCAAACCCCCAAATGGGTGGACGAGAGAACTCGGAACAGAGTTCATGCTACCGTCTTCGCCCGAGTACAACGCCTGGTCAATATTGTTGTATTCAGGGCAACTTTCCATCTAGATATGGCGATACTGACAGGGCGTTCTATTTGGGTGAAGACGGTAGTAAAGCTGCTAGATCAGTATCATGTTATGCCATATATACTACAGTTGTGTCGGGGCAAGGACCTGAGCCAATTGGAACATCTTCTCCCCCAACAATTCAGTGCAGCTCATGCTCCCATGACGAACATCAATGACGACGATGCGTCGCCACTCACCCTTCTTCTCCTATTCTCCCCACCCCCATCCCATCTCACCGGCCCGATATTCGCCTTTGCAGACATGTCCAACAGGCCAGGCAAATCATTAGGCAACCGACGACTCATCCTCTGCACCAATCACTGCTCCAGGGTGCTCGGCAAGAGCAACGCTTGGACCAGTGGAACAGAAGGAAGAAAAGGAAAAGACTTCTGCTCTTGCTGCGTTGCAGGATGCTCAGCAAGAGCGGAAGGATCGCGGAGTGTTTCTTCAACATGAGTGCGGCAGGGCAAAAGTGGCTGGAGTGGCTCCTCATGCACATGGGACTGACCCGGAGGTACTAGTGCCGTCCACGTCACGGGGTGACGTGGCGCAACGCTGGGTAGGGGCAAGTGGCCACACTGGCAATAGGGGAAAGTTTCGTCGCGTGAAAGTGTTCCCAAGCTCCCGCGAGATC